TAAGCCCAAGCACAACAGCCACGAACACAAAAAGAAGCAATGAAAGAAAAACTGCTTACCTCTGGAAAGCCCCAGGTAGATGGGGATCACCAGCAAAACAGCCTCATCTCCTTTTCCAACCCTTAAATGAGGTCTGGGAAGGGGTGGACCCTGGCTCTATCCGTTCTGGTCACTCAGTGCATTGCTTGCACCTGAGCTTCTCTGCGTTGGCCCTGCCTTCTCCCCAGGTGCTCAATCACTGGTTTAAGCTGTGATTTAGCATTTCCACTACTAAGCCTTTAAATGGGAATAATGTAGACTTTCTGCTTTGTATCCTGTTCTCTGGACAAGAGCACAAACCAAAGCAGAAGCCTATTACATTTTAATGATATTCTGCACATATTCTTTAACAGCACAGATGGTTCTTCCAGCTTAGATTACTGCCTAGTGGTAAGCGCTTTCTTTGTCGTAATTACCTGAAGTAGGCACTGAAACTAAATTATCCACTTACTATATTAATAGTCCCAAGCACTAATTGATCATAATATAAGCAATAGCTATGCTCCTGTTGCACTGAAGGAGAAATCTAATAGGCCTGCATCAAGTCTTTCCTTTCGATCACACACAGAAACATTACCGGGCAATTGCTTTCATGTCACTCCTTTGCTTTCATGTTACTCCTTTGCCTCCCCACACACAGACACTAAAGTTTACTAACTCCCTTTTGCGGCAGAACTCAGAGAAAATAAGCTACTTTTGAAAAGCACTACATGGAATGATGGAAAAAAAGACAAAACAGCTTTGTGTTTTCAAACTAACGATGTGGGAGTTGGTACTGAGCATTAAGACTTTCACAACAATCCCTAAAGAATTGGTATATATTATTTTAGGACTAAGCTCAATTGGTATTGGAGTCACAGGATTGCTTTTGAATTGTTGGGTAATACTTGTGGACTGGACAACTATCTTAATAAACTCAAATGTATTCAACAGTTACTGTCTCTCTGGGAGGCAAATTTTGCGGATAAACATACAGCAGATTGAGTGCAAGACGTTTTAAGGAGTCCTTTCCGGATTAAAAAAAAACATTTTGGGTTGGAAGAAGGCAATAAATAAGATTAACCCACCATCTCCTGCTTTCTGACAACCAATTCTACATCTTCCTTTGAATTTTAGCATTATGATATCTTGTACCTCTATTCGTGGGTGTGGTGATGAAAATGGGCTTTTTGAGGATTATCTCAATCCATCTATTATCTCAATCTATCCTACTTGTAGGATAGAGGGTTCCTAGTTCTCTGTATGTAGGAGAATTCATATCTGAAAAAGTATGGAAAGAGAAGGGCTCTCTGATCTCAGGGATCTCTTCCAGCTTCATGTTGTACTGTAAAACCACCTGCATAAGCACACAGTGAGACTCATTTCAACATGTTTTTGTAGCTAGAAACACTTGAAATGTGAGTGTCTGAATTAGTTCACACTTCTACTTGGCTCTAATGATCTTTCCCATCCCCACGAGCTCTTGTTCAACCTCTGCCTTCACAGAATGCTGGCAGCTCTTACCGTGCTTCCACTTCACTGTGCCTCTTAAGGGCAGGCAGATCTATGATCACTGACAAACGACCTCAGGCAGACTTTCATGTGACCTGGCTGCAGTCTTGGAAACATACCTGCAAATAAAATCTGCTGTATTTTAGATTCCTACGCTCTTTAATTCTATGTATATTTTGTGGCTGATGGATTGACAAAGAAAGGCGGGGGCAGATTGTTGTGGAAAATGTCATTCATCTGTGCTCAGACTGCTGTGTAACAGGGCAGATAGGTATTTGGCAGCTTGAATCCTCTATGAACTTATAACTGAGTATCTTAAACAGAGGGTTTTTTAAAGTTCTTTTACTGAGATACAAACTAATTGCACTTTCCTTGCATCAAGGGCAGGTGAAGAGCACTCATACAAAAAGACACGATGCCACAATTGTAGTTTGTCATGTTAACATAATTAGACCATGTGTGATGTAGGCCAAAGCCCAAACAGAAAGCTCACTGAAAAAGGCATGTTGCTAAGGCAAGAGCACAGACTTGAATCCAGTAACAGTTCAAATAGAAAAGGGACAGATTAGACAAATAATTGAAGTAATGGTAAATGTATTTTTGAAGACTGCAAAACAAAAGTACATATTTTAAAGGTAAGAGCACATACTGCTACGGTCTTCAGACCAGTTAGTTATGGAGAAAGTATGGAGGATTGGATGGAGACGAGAGAATAGAAAAAAGAAAAAAAATCAAACTAGACTTAACAACATCTAAAGGCACCAGCATCCTTCTAGGGAATGCAATATTTTTCCTACCTGTAAATTTATGCAACAGGTATGCAATATAATACATATTTATGCAATATATGTTGGCCTCACTTTCTTGATTCTATGGATCAGATATCTGAGCCTGAGTATGGACAGCTATACAAAGATTCTTAAGCCAATTTAAAAATAGTGGCCCAAGAGAAAAGAACGGGAAATGAAGTATCTCGCTAATGGTGAATTTCAGGGTTTGGATGGGACCAAAGTAAAGACTGTATTCTAATTTATGCTGCTATTTATATTGAAAGATTATTCCTTCTGTTATCGTGACGAGGTATAAGTTATGCTTTGGGCTAAGATTTGCCAAATAAATTCAATATTCTGATTTTTGGGAGGAATATTTGAATTCCAGTAGGGAAAATAAGTAATTCAATGCTCATACAGGTACACCTACTGCTAAAAACAGAGATGTTATTTGACATTGGTCAGAAAGCATTTACTAATTTTCTTAAGATGCCAAACAATCATGACATAGCTTTCAGTCATAAACCACTTGAAATGAAGGGAGAAATGTTCTTCACTTGCTCAAAATCTTTTCCACTGCCTGTAGAGTTAATGTTCTGCTTCTGGCACATGATTAATTCCTACAAAGAAACAGGAACTTGGGGAACACACAGATGGCCACATCCTATAAATTATATGGTCGTTGTCTTACGTGGGTGGTATTTTAAACCTTGCTTCTTCACTCCCTCATAACAAGCCTGAAATCAGAAGAAAGTGGGTACTTGACAAAGCTTTTACATTTTCTGTTTTCAATATATGTAAGAATTATTGACCTTCAAAAATAAGCTTTGTCAAGTAGAAAAGCTTTTATGTAACAAAATCTCCAAATCTAAAATGCTTTTTATTAATCATGCTCCTGTTCTCTACAGAAGAATGCTCCACACAGGAAGTACACAGGAAAAGAAGCAAATCCCACAAGAAAAAGACACATGCAAACACAACTGAATTAGTTTAGAGAAACAATTGTTACCCAGGTCCAACGTTGGAAATACATCTGAAAGAGATAACCTTGGAAGCTGGTCACCTGAACACAGTGAGAAAAAGGGTGTGAGAAAGGAAGGCCCTGATCATCTGTCAGATGGAATCCAGACGTGACAATTAGAGTTAATGAACCACGACCCAAGAAGCAGTTTCAGCACTTTTTACAATCCCACTTCATGGCCTCAGTAAAACTTTCAGGGTTTTTTTGTTTTTTTTTTTATTCCACAGAACACGTCTGCTCCAAATTCTAAGGGGAGAAACTGGATTCATTTGGTTTCTTCCCCACTTTTCAGTCACGTATGAAGTAAATGTAAAATCTTTGTGAACTGAAAAATCAGAAGATACAGCTTCTACGATGAGATTATATAGTATTATTGCAGTAGCTATTTAATTTACATTAAAATTAATGAACTGATAAAGCTGACTGAAGAATACCAAGCAAATAATTTCAAAACATAACCAGTATAATGGCATTTATCTTCAAATATTGGTTTTGGCCTCAGGTACTCAGAAAGCTCAGAGAATGCCTCTGAGAAGGAAAAAAAGAAAAGCTGACTGATACCTCAGTCTTCTATCATTTCTTCACAGAGCAGGTATAGCTAATGAAGCAGTGCCTCTTTATCCCCAGAGTCCAGAAGATCTGCCAAACTTCTAAGCCTGAGGTGCAATTGATCTTTCTTTCCCTATGGGCAAAGTATTCCTGCAGTCAGAGCCTCTCAGTTTCTCAGAATCACAAAAATCCAACCATTTGGTCTTTTGCTATTATATGGAATGAAGGATCGAAATAAGGCCAAACAACTCTTGGTGGTTCTCTTCCCATACCAGACACACTTTTCCTTGGCCTCCTCCTAAGATGTGTTACCAAAACATAACAATTCGCTCTGAAACCTGCTACCTAAATTACAATTGCTTTTTATGGTAATGAATTCTAAAAACACTTTTCCAGCAGCCCTGGTCAGAAATTCACAAAGGATACTTAGTGCAGAGCAGGAAGATCTCAAGAGCTTGAAGATAACATTTCACAGTCAGCTGACACTACAGTTCCCTCTTCTCACTGAGTTTGGAAGTGATTGGTTGCATCCTGCTTCTGGAGAAGGCAAAGGCATTTCAGCCATTGGTACCATTTAACCCCAAACTTGAAGATCATCATTAAGAAGTGAAAGTCCAACTTGGTCTTGTACATGGATATGTCTGTGGTGTGTGCAAGGCAACATCGGGAGTCAATGTGCCTCATAGGAATGGCTCGCAGAGCTTTGCTTACTGACACTGTGCTCACACATTCCAATTTTTGCAATTAGTATTGCATTCTCTTCAGTGAAACTTAAGCTCAGTCATGCTGTGTTATGAGAATTTTCTAGTCCTTTCTTATAGCGAAATCACTTTCAAAAAGAAAAAAAAAAAACAGAAAGAAAAAAGAAAAGAAAGAACATTTCTGTTTTCTGTTCTCCTAGTATGGGCATGTGAATAAATTAAATGATATTTACATCCTTATATAAGGAGCTTCACAATTTTTCTCTTTAAAAAAAAAAAGAGATCAGAAGAAATGGAAGCATGGTAAGAGTACAATATCTGATAAGGAATTATTTGACTGTAAATGAATAGTAGAGGAATATTACAAAATCTATCCATATTGATCACAATTAATAGATTAAATAATAAAACACTTCATTTTATCCTAGCAAGTTTATTCAATGCAAAAAAAAGAAGTCTATGGCTCCGTAATAAAAGCAGCTGTAAACTATCACATCTGTCGTACATACTATTGCAAAGTAGAGTTTTATCTTCTTCACTATATTAACCTCCCAAGAGCTCATTAAATGTTACTGATATTGAAAACATGGTTGATCAGGTGAAATAAAACAAAATGGAAAAAAATTAAAATATCAGTAGATCAAGTGTTTACTGCAAACATCTTCTGCCTGGTTTAAACACTGAACTAATTTTTAAGTACGCGTGAAGTTGTATAATGCATAACATAATGAATAAAACACTCACACATTAGGTAAGTGACACTGTAAAGATCTACTGTTGTAATAATTTCCTTCAATCCAATGATACCAATAAGGGAAGAACCTACAACAAAAGAAATAATTGTCTCTTCAGTTGTCATTTCAAATTATTTCCTGTAAGTTCATAGAACTGTGGATTCCAATGATACCCAGTAAGGGTAGCCACTCACTGCAGCACTCCAATCATCAGAGTGATCCCACCACGTTTCAGAGGTGGCAACTAAGTCACAGTTTTCCAATTGCACAGTGGCTTCTAGCTCCTCCTGTTTGCAGCCCACGCTGTGCACATGGCTGTAGATGCACTTCAGCGTGGCCATTGGTCTCACTCCCAACCTCCACATACTGCCCGTAGGCTCATCTGTAGCAAGTTTGCTTTTATTCCCTTTCCCCTTCAAACCTAGTTTAAAGCCCTCTCAACAAGACCCACCAACTACTGGGCTAGAATCCATTCCTTCCCCCCTTTAAAACAGGTAGACTGCATCTATTGCCAGCAGGCCTGATGCTGAATAAATCTCTGCATGATAAAAAATAATAATAACAATTAAAAAATTCCTCTGACTGCACCATCCTCTTAACCATGCGTTGCTCAGGTGGCTTGTCCTGTTCCTCACAATATTTTTCCCTGCTAGTGAAGAGATTGAGGAAAACACCACCTGAGTTCTCACTTTATGTAAACAGGTTTTCTAAGAAAAACACTCTATTAGACGTTTGCTATTTCATGAGATCTTTACAGGCTGCTCTGGAACAAAAGATCCTGATGAGGACACAGATTCTGGCACTTCTTACTTAAAAGTAATAGGAAATGGAGATCGTTCAGTCTTTCATTAATTTAACTGTTCATTTAAAACTCTTGTTTGAAGCCATTTTATCTACAAAGCACAGATGCTGTTCATCATCCAGTGTTCTCATGCAAAACAACTCATGTTGTCAGGAAAAAAATATTCAGCATTGACACAAAGATACAAGAGCACTGAATAATTCGGAGCTGTGCCATAGAAGATCCAAATCAAACAAAAACTTCCAGTTCTTGCTCTGAATTACAGTCCATGTTTCTGCATACATTCTAAACTACAGTGAGTTTTCCAATCTGTTTACTAATGTAAGATATACCGACTGACCTCCCAGCACAGAAAGTGTATTTTAAATGTCATGCATAGTAATTAACTACAGAATGAAAAAAATCTTTATGCATGTTCTCAACAAGTGAGGAAACCATGTTTTCATTGGCCTGGATCATGCATGCTAAGTGAGGAACTGCTTTATGAAGAGAAAGTAAGCAAATATGTATGCACAGTAGAGCAGAAGACCTTTTAATAATGACCTGCAGTCATACCAGATTGAAATTCTGTTCTCTGTTCTATTATTATCCACAATTCCAAGTTATTATTCTACTTACATTTTATGATGTTCAGGAAGAGGAGGTCATCATTCACCCTGAACAACCGTAAATCTCCTGCATGTAATTTCTGTTTTTCCTGAGTATTCTTTCATTCCCTGCCACTCAGAATACCACTGCTTCTATTACATATAGTAAAGTTTTCCAAGGCTAAGAACCCAAGTAAAGATCCTGGCAGTAGATAAATCTTTCATATAATGTAAATCTGGTTCTATCAAAGTGTTACAATTGATTAGACAACAGCTTAGCTAATTTCTGCTCATGGCTCATGGTATTTTTTTTCCTTATTTTGATATCCAGTGGCTATTGTTCCTTAGTTTTATCCAAAAAGCAAGCTATTCCTGCATTTACTGGTATTTCTAGTTCTTGCTGACTCTTGTTCTCCTTATAAAGTTTCAGTAGGTTATTAACAGTGAGATGCAGAAAGTAAGCGAACCATTAGTTGAGAAAGTTAATTTTAAAAAAGTGATGGAAAGTATCTCACTGATGTTTTAAATCCATGCCACAAACTATAATGAGATAACAAAAAAAAAAAAACCAAAAAGAAGGAAAACAAATGTGGTTAAACAATTATTTTGCACAAAATTGCAAAAAAAAACTAGTCATACTAGATTATCACTGCGGCAGGATAGACTCTGTATGTGGTAGAGGTTGAAATCCACATGAGATTATTTATTCTTACTATGTGATCATAAGTTTCGCTTTAACAGACAATATTTGATAAATCTTTTTGATAAATCAAAAATTCTTGCAACTACAGAATTCTGCTTCCTTTGGAATGGAAAAATTTCTATATTATTGTGCCACATATTCAGGTTTTGATATTTAGTAGTGAATCATTCAGTAATAACTCTGACTCTCAATAACAATATGTAGATTTATACTACCTGGTGAGCCAGCCATCAGCTTGTAGACAAATTGAATACTTCTAATTTACTGTTCTTCTAAATATTACATCACGCATCCATGTATACACTTCAAATCATCTTGCTGCCAGAGTGCAGCTATTCTTTATCATAATCAGAGAAGCTACAGCATGACTGCTCCACAGTACAGCTATTATTTCAAAGGCTCATGTAGATTTTTAATTTCTTGGTTTATATGCAGTGAAGTATGCAGCCTAGTTTAAAGCTTACATAAAGTGGAAGTAGTAACATGGACAGCAAAATAAGATCTTGCTTTTCAAACAAAGTGCAGAATGAGTGAAGGAAGAGTGGAACAGGAGCTGACATGCACATCTGTGTTTGCTAGTAAAAAATAAATTCAATGAAGGCACATTTGAGTATTTCCATGCAAGTAAGCTCCTAGAATCGAAGCACAGAACCACTGTTCTTCTACACTAACTTTCTGTTGGGCACTTGTATACAAGAAAAGGAGTGACTTTTATTTGTTAAGCTGAACCCACTTTCAAAGAAGACTAAAACCAATGGCTTTGGTTCAGGATAAGATTTAAAGGTAACACCTCTTGCAGCCTATTTTCTTGCATCAGCCAGTTCTCAGCTAGCCACCTCAGTCCATTTCCAAAATAAACTGCCTTCTGTTCCATTTGGAAGTGTTTCAGAAGCCCAGCCTTCAAGTATGCATGTCACATGAATTGATACTCGACTAAGACTTAACGTTCATCGTTGTATTTTATGAAGAATTAGCAAACAAGGAAAACAAACAGGAAGATCTTGTTTAGAAAACCCTCACTTTGAAGGACTGACAAAAGCTACCTCACTATAACCGCTGCAGCCAAACGACACTTTCTATGACTGGCAGAACAGAGCAGCACACAGTATTCGTAGGGGATTCCTTTGATCCCAAGAGTATCATTTACCTGCGTTACGGGTCATTTGATTATTTGCCTTCTCAGTCAATACCCTTTGATGTAACAAACTCAGGATGTCAGTGCTCTGGTATATAGAGAAGTGATTAATTCCACCAGTAGCGTCTTCAAGGATGACATGGCCATACAACCTAGAAGAAAGAAAAAGCAACAAAAGAAAAGAATGCAATTAGACATAAACAGTGTATTATTCTAACTCAGCTAAGAACCAAACTCTGCATGTTAGTTTGAGTGTGCTATTGGGGCAGGAATGGTTAGCTACACAATGCTTTTTGCTTGATATCTTAAACGTAAGTCCTATACTCTGCATAAATATATCACCTTGCAATGAGAAATCAGCACATTTTAAACTGGTAATAAGACATACACTTATAAATGAAAGTATTAATTAAGAGAAGTTCCCAAGAACGTGCATTCCTCATTTCTGGAGTATCAAAAGACATGGTGCAGTTTCTTGAGCGTCAGTATTACAAGTCCCACCTACCTTCCACACTGCTGTTGTGTGGAACTCTTAAGGTACACAGTCTTTCACAAGGGCAAAATTACTTATTAACAAACCTGAAAAATGTTTCAATATCAGATTTTGTAAGCTGTTTCAAATCATTCCTTACTAGACTGTTGTTTGAAATCCCAAGCAAGACAGGCATTTGATAGAAACATTAACTTCTGTAACATGTCCTTTCCAGTTCTTTTTCCACAAAAATAACTGCAAACTAACATAGAAGCATATTTCTGAAGAAGAACAATTCACCCCTGCTGGGCTTTGCTTATCACTTCATATAATATTCCATAAAGATATATTCCATAAAGACTATATTCCATAAAGACTGGATGTTGTGTTGAGGGACACGGATTAGTGGGAGCTATTGGGAATAGGTGAACGGTTGGACTGGGTGATCTTTGAGGTCTTTTCCAACCTTGGTGATTCTATGATTATGATATGATGTGGCCAGACTCCATGCTACCTTCTACATTTCTCTGAGGGTCACTCTCAAGGTTTCGTAGCCCAGAAGGGAAAAATGTCCACTGTTATCCACGAAGATGGAGAACCAGACTGACAACACCAAGTTTTAACTCAGAAGACAGAGGTTTACACCTCTGTGTCAGCAAGTTCTGCAGCCCACAGAAGTCTTGTAGAGGAAAATAGCTGGTGTTGAAGAACACAACATCCACATTCCGTGCATTGCAGGAGTGTTTACGCACTCTGGCTCTTATCAGCTCCTGTGTGCTCAGTGCCCATTGACTTCATCTATATTCATCTTCAATTCAGAATTAGTTCAAAAGTAACCCTCTTTGCAATTTCTGATACTGCTGCATGATGCGAAGTAAAGCACAATAAACAGGAGCACTTGGGATGTTCACTTCAAAAGTGCAGTTGTGATAGATAAAAACTAAGATCAGCAAACAGCAGGACAGCGTGAGATTTTGTAAATGCATATAGTCAGTGCAGCTTTGCAAAAAGTCCAAGTTTAATAAGCTTCTGTGCTTTGTTAGAATTAAGCCAAAGTGCTCAGCCCCAAAATTCAATGCTTTACTCTGTTTTATGTATTCTGACACCTAATAATCAAATTCAAATTAGGCTTGAAGGCAGTCATGCTGAAAGATTACATGTCTGTTTGCATATTCCTTGTGGGCTGCTACCGTGGATTTGGACTTTAAGATTACTCCCTGATGCAAATTTTCTAATTTTTTAATCCATCCACTATCTTCTTCTAACAAAAAGTAATTTATCAGATCCGAAGGTGTGATCTCTCCAACCGAGTACAACAGAAAAACATGTGAAATCTGACATTTTTTATGGGTAGCAAGGTTTGTTGCTAAGAAATTTTCTGTATTTCTCTCCGTGTTTGCTCATTTTTCTAACGGCACGGTGACTGAAGTAAAGGCATATATAAATGCCTTCATATAATTTTAATGTTACACCAAAAAATAGTACAGAAAGTTTTGAGCTGAGTACATCAAATAAATTTCTTTACTGTTTTAATAATTTTGTCTTTATGTGATGCACAATTTAACTATCCATTACATTGAAAATGGCATAGAGTTAGCAATTTACACTAGGATGAGAGCCTGAAGTAATACCAGAAATTAAAACGGATGAATTTTTAGTGCTTCAATCAATGGCTCTATGCCTCAGTGTGTTTTTTTCTCAAGCAAAGGATTATTTGAAGTGAAATATTATGACCTGGTAACACTACAGAAGAGTAATTCAAGTGCATGTCAGCTAGGGGTCTGAAGAACTGGTCATATAGACTTTTCTGCCTTGAGATATCTCGGGGAACCAGGAAAAATACGGACATGCAGCACAGAGTTCACATGGGATCTCTGCCAGTCCTTCATATCAGCAGCAGTCACAGTGTGATCTACAAGCCGATTTAACATGCAGACCTAGAATGGTCACTTTCAAATGAAACTCCCTTATCTACCTTCTCTGCTTGTGATAGATGGAGGAGGTCAAGGCCCTGGGAGGAGTTATTTGCAGGCTCTCCCTCCCTCTTTCACGTTTTGCTTTTTGCTTTAAAGGGAACTGAAGTGATATTATTGAAAGACCTGTTAATAAGATCAGCAGAACTGAATGACAGTAATACATTTGAACTTTTATGATGCTATTGATCCAGGCCTGAAGAAAGTGAAGTGGTAAAGTGCATTTAGGCATCTTATTTCAAGGACTGTGAAGGTAAGAAAAGAATTTTTGTAAAAGTAGTAAAGGCCTGTGATCCTAATAGATACTTTTGGATAGCCAGGCATTCTTTCTTTTCTTTAGCTATTATTTTTACTTCACTTAAACAATTTGCTTTTAATAACACATGTAAGAAACCATAATAAACTGTACAGCAGCCAAGCTACCTCTCCTCTGTTCCTACCCCAATACAGTTCAACCTCCAGCTACAGTACAAAGGAAGTGTAAAGTTTTGCTCACAGCAGGAATGGCTTAACATGCTATAAAGCCATTTTGTGATAGGCTGCAGGGGAAAACAGTACACCAAATCTTCTAGTATTCTCTTTGTTGTGATATTTGACACGAAGGGGCAGACAGTCAAATAGAAGTCTGATTTCTCCTTTGCCTTTATTCAGCTTGGCCTTTCACTGGATTCCTGAAACTCATACTTAAGGTTTGCATATACATGTTGCTAGCAGCATAAGAGCTCTCATCACAGGTTTTGAGCATTCTTTCCAGACATTATTTGACATATTTTTAAGCAACAAGAACGGAACTAGCAGAACACATATCAGATACAATGAACACAATAGCAAAAATAATAACAAATGAGATCAGGTATTATGAGGGTGGGCAAGCAACGTTTTTTATTGTCTTTTCTGTCCTGTTTTTGAAGACAATTTTCAAATCCAACATTTGGTGCTGTTATTGAAGGAAGATCTCAAAGTAGTGCACATCCTAATGTCAATGCTGAATATAATATGAATGCAGAAATGCCTTCACAAATGAGTTCAATTAACGCTTAAAACATGAGTTAATAAATATTCTGAATTGAATGCCTGCTTTATTCCACCTGCAATCACTGCAGCTTCCTGGTGAATGAGCCTATGAATTTATTGACCTGATGAGGCTCCAGCAAATCTTTTATGTTATCAGTCATTGCTCCAAGTCATTAGCTTTTCATTGTCTGATTCCAGATAATAAAAATGCTATTACCGTGAAGAAAAAAAAAATAAAAGCTGTCTCCCTGTTCTGCACCAGGGAAGAAATCAACAAGTAAAAGTTAGTAGAATTTTCTTTATTTTCAGAGCTGATTGGAAATACTTCAATGGGTTTTGCTGTATTATATATTTAAATAGAAATAGTTTTCTTACATTAGGAAGATCTTTATGACACTTTTGATCATTTTCTCTTCCTTTAATTACTATTCCCATCTTGCGATTGTATTTTAGTAGAATCCTCTAGTAAATAGTATGGATTTAGTTGCTATCCTTTTGATTACTGCAAGCAAGTTTTATCACTTTGGTACTAAGGAGTTCTTTTGCTCAAACATGACACTTGAAAGAAAACTTCCTCTTCAGCAAACACTCCTGTGTTTTTACCATATTCATACTTCCTATAGTTAACCCCAACGTTGTGATGTGCTGAACTAATTATTCATTGCAGAAAATCCTTTCCAGACCTGAATTCTGTAATCAGATGCATTTGTAGTCCTAGTCTGCATAGCTCATCATCTCAAACCCAGTCGCAGCATTTGCAGGTGTCTATGGGTCATTAATTTCCTGCAGGAATGAATTTGTATAGGATGCCTAAACGCTCAGGAAAATGTTTCCCCATTTTAAAAGTATCTTTTTCTGTTTTGTTTTCAGATCTTTTTGCACCCTTAAGTTTATATCAGTTGTGTAGTTTGAGTGATAGCAAGGCTTAACAACCTCTTATTTTTAAAAATCTAAATCGATAGAGCAAGATACTATAAAATACTCTATTTTTGTGTATGAAAACCCTTCATGAGTCACAGAGCTGTTATATCCTTAAATATTGTATTTATTAAGATGTCTTGAACCATTATAAATCACATCTGTGTCAATTATGGTTTTCAACAAAAAATGCTAACGTCTAAGTAACAAGCACTCAGCCAGCAGTTCTTTGATTTAAACTCATTTTTGAGTTAAGCTTTGGATTAAAAAGCAAAAGCAAAACCAAGCCAACAGAAGCTCTCTCTTCCCAAACATTCTTTGAACTTCCCTCTTTCCTGATAATTATAGCACTGCTCATCATTGAGTGGCAGCACAGGGCCTTGAAGAATGAATACTGAATTTCTTACAAATATCTGCACAACTAAATGCCAAACCTGGCACAGACTTTGAGGTCTGTTTGTACTCCCTTCAAGACCCTGAATCTGATCTAATGGAGATAACATAAGCTACCATCAGCCAAGACACTTTGGCCTCGGCACATGCAAGCTGTATTGCGGAAAATGGTTGCACAACTAGAAATACAGTCTGGAAGGAGTGTGAGAGATGGAGAACAGAACGAGGGAGGAGGAAATGGATAGAACTAAAAGAAAATTTTAAAAAAATGCAGATAGGATTAGCTAGGGAAGAAGAATGATATGAAGTCTAGAAGATAATAAAGAGAAATCAAGAAATCAAGCAAGGAAGAAATTTTGGACCCAGAACAACTCATTCAACCGCCCACCCTTTTTATCACTAAATAGTCTTGATCTTGCTTTGGCAGGGGGGTTGGACTCGATGATCTCTGGAGGTCCCTTCCAACCCGTACAATTCTGTGATTCTGTGATCTTATACTAAAGAAAGAGCATTACGTTAGATTTCTTTTAACTCTTTAGAACAAGCAGTGCCTTTCTTCATTGCACCGCTTAAATTACACGTTTCAGACTTCTTTCTCTGTCCAGTTTGGCTCTTAGGCCCCCTCTCCAGGTTCTTATACTATTACTAAAGAAAGACTTCAATGAAGGCTTTTGTAGTACCATCTTTAGCCAAACAGTAGCTCATAAACACATGCAACAAGAAAAGTGTTATGCTTCTCTGGTTTGCTTTTCTCCAGTTTCAGCCTGGCATAACACTTACTCAACAGCAGTGCCGTTATATTGGCACCATCAGCTGAAGAGAGCACAGCTGGCAAGCAAAACAGCTTCCCCTTTTGTCATACAAACCAACAACTAGCTCAATAATCCAAGACCACAACACTAAAAAACGTTATAGCGAGAGAAAAAACTACTACAAGAAGGAAGTGAAAGAGAAACGTATGAAACGCATGAGAAAGGGATTGATGAATACCTTCTGTTTGCTTAGGAAAACCCAGGCTGGACACCAGCACCCCCTGCCACTCATTCGGAGAAGCTTGGTGCTTGAAGAACGCACAGCATTCTGTCATTTGATAGTGCTCAACCCAGCGTCTGCTCCTTTTTTCAGAAGCTCAGGCTTCTTCCTCCTTTTGTCAAAGACGTTTGGATGGGTATTTCCTTTGATCAAAGTGGCAATTTGCTTATTTATTTCATTCATAACATTTCTTACCCCACTTCTTCCAGGAGGATGGAAAAAAAGGCAGAGGGAATATGAATGGCTCTTCTCAGGTAGTTTTCTTACATTGTTTCTTTCTCAATGTACTGCTGTAGGTGAAGAAGATGTCTGTGCCTCCTGTTGTGAGCAATTTGTATTCACACGTCCTTTGCTTTCAAAGTCGTCTTTTGTTCAGACGGATATGTAAAAAGCAGCATTATCTCAGGGTGGCTTTTGCTGTTTCAGTGACAGGTGGCCCCACTACCTAAGTGTTGGCATGTATTTGCTCAGCTGAACTGGCTGCTGAGAACAGTTAGACCGAATTGGGGGGGGGGGCGCCCAACGAAGAGTGTTTTTGGCCTGTGTAATCTGCAGTACAACTATTCCAGCTGTTATGGCTCTGGCTGGAATTGAGTTCATTTTCTTCATGAAGGCTCATACGATGCTGCGTTCTGGATTTTTGTTGGAAAAATGCTGTCCTGCCAGTGAGGGGCACAAGGAGTTGTACCCAGAATGGCCAAAGGGAGACTATTCCCAGTAGGCATCCTGAGTGCACCATTCTGCTTTGGCTGCTGGGACTTGGTACTATCAACACAGATTGCTCAGCGGCCAGATTGCTTCTGTACCACACAAACCATCCCTGGGACAGAGCTTTATACACACAAAGGCAATTTGTACAAACCTTATCAACCCCAATTTTCACAGTAGGAGGAGGAATTAGGCTCTATTCACTGAAAAGCTTTCTAAAAGGAAAAGTTTTATCTAATCACAGGCCGTTCTTTCAGATGAGGTTATCTGGTCTCCAGTGTGAAACATATGAGGTCTGGAAAGCAAATCACTTTTTTTTCTTTCCATGCAGATAGCAGCAGATATTATTACATTGCAAGGGGGTGAAGGGCTCTGCACATCAAGGTCTTTGCTTGTGAGAGGGTGAGGGGAAACTGGAATTTATCAATTGGAATTAAACAGAGAAGCTGACCATTGCTACCTTCTTATGAAACAAAATTTTAGGAGCTGGTAGGTGTGAAGGTGACTTGATAAAGGTTTTATTTGTGCCACACAGCTCAAGATACATTTATCAGAAGACTGCAACTTCCAAGGGGAAACTTACGCTTTCTAAGATAAAACATTTACCTCAGGATTCATCTTCTATAAAAATACTACTGACAGCTAATATAGATCAGCTTCAGATATTCAGATATTCAGAACCTGCCATATGAATACGGCCATTCAAGAGTTTCTTTCTGAATCTTTCAGGCAATTCTGCAAACTCTCACAGCACCTCTGCCATCCATAACCTTGCTCCTTGGATCTCCTCTATGTACTGAGCGCCAGCTTCATCATACGTGGAAGTTTTCAATTTCACACAACAGTGATTTCTTCATAAGTTCTAAGTCATGCTTAGAAATCACAGTGTTTTCTAAGAATAAACTCTTGAAATCAAAAGGAATGACAATATTTGACGGTTTTTACCCAAGATTTTCTCCTCTTGCTCAGCAGCACAAGGATTTGACAGATAATCTCAGTTATGCAGCTGTGGAATCTCCCACCACTGCCATGTTTAAATAAATTATTTACCAGTAATGGCTGTTGTAACCTCTTTAGTCATAGGACCAAGCACGACACTTTCCCTACGTGTTTACAATCTGCCACCTACACAGACTCTAACCCTGTAGCTGCTGCTGGGTGACATGCCTAAATCTACTCTATATAGCATGATAAGGTGAAATATATATTAAATAACTGTATCTTATTTGTTTCTTTTTTGTGTACGACCATTTCTATCTGCACTCCAAAGCTTTCTTTTAAATACGTATTATCTTATTGTCTATGGTGTATTTAAAATACAACTGTTAAACAAATTCTTTCATTTATCTCAGTTTTGCTGCTGGCGTGGACCACAGTTTTTTAAAGCTCTTCCTAAAATCTACTTTTCAGACCACCTTTTAGGGACTGCAATGAAATTCCTCAATAAATATCATTAGAGAAAATTATTATGGGTTGCTATTAACTTGGGTACAGGTTTGATTCCTTCTCTCCCTGTCAAATCTTGCTTAGATTACAAATCTAACTCCACTGCCCTTGACTACAGTGAACCACTCTGTGTGTTCCTCTGTCCTCCCTGTGCAATTCTTCTTTTAATATTGCAAACCTTTATATTTGCTCCTTCTAACCTGTAGCACTCATGGAAACACAGTTTATCTTATTACAAGTTTCTGGTGAAGCTTCAGCTTTCATCTTCATGTTTGAAGAAAAACAACTGACTATTGGGAAACTCACATGAATTTGCTGGTTTTCTCTGCTTGCACGCTGACTGATCCGCCACCAAGAAAAAGTCACCATCATTCTGAGTCTTCTAACACATTTCTGGATGATCAGTACTTTCCCTTACTCACCTTGCAACAAAGTGAATGACCAAAAAAAATAGAACAACCAACCAACAAGATGGATGTCTAACATCAGCGTTCATGATTAAATATTCTAGTTGCTTTTGCTTGAAAATGAGCTGGCCACATAAGTCATAAATATGTTACTGAGGATGACTGGTATGGTGTACTTCAGGCTACTTCATGATCAATCAAATTGCTAAGAAAACCTTTCATAAATTCTGGGAAATTTAGGTGTGTTTCACTACTTGCTGTTTGCTCCTAGGATAAAGATTTAATCCATGTCACAAACGCAGCTTGGCAGCTCTTTTAAATACAAAGTACAGTGATAATTTACTTGAATGAAAATTAAAAAGATATGTGCTTGAAAAGAATACTTTTTTTAACTCACTGACAGTAAACAGTTCAGCCCCAAGGTGTGCAAACTACTCAATTGGAGAAATTCAGACCTTACATCTATCTCTATGATATCAAGCTTCCATCCCACTTTCTTACTGACCAACAGATGGATGTGCCTTTATATTAACCTTCGGTATTTACCAGTTATGTGAAGTAGGAGTAAAAGCATCAAGAACGTTTTAGGCATCTTTCCAATCACATAAAATACAGAAGAGACAAAATGCAGAACTCTGTATTCTGGTCTGGGTATCTTAAAATCCAGACAGTGGTTAATACAGCCTGTTCTCACAACCTTTTTCCTATCAGCCAGCCACTGGGAAGTGAGATTCTTAGACTGAAAAAGAATTAAAAATAAAACACCAGAAATGTAAAAGATGACATCAGTCACACACAGAACTGCCAGAAATTCTTATCCTACTTGGAAAACAGTTTTGGAGAAAGCGTTTTGCATATTGGCAACAACTGCTTTGCACAGTTGTTTTTCCCCATAATTCTGGATATCTCAGATACTTAGAAACCTCCTTGCAAGATCTGTTTGGAAAGTTATTCATCAAATGCCGACAGAATTTATCCAATTTAACAATATCTAGTCTAAATTTTACTACCATATTCCATCATGATTGATAATGCCAACGTTCATCAAAATAGCTACCCTCCAGAGCAGAGAAACAGCAATGTCAGCAGAAAATATCTCTGCTGATAAAGCTGCAGCAGCACTGAAAGGAAACAGTGCTCTAAACCACGATGTTCTGGAGTCACAGATCCAAGTGACAGTGGCTGATAAAAGGTTATAGAACAGTAAGATCTCTTCAGCTCACAGCACTTTTCCCCTGCACAGCAAAGCACCACACAGAAGTTTCCAATCCAATCTGATGTAGGAAGTTCTTCTACTAAAAGCTGTGGTCGCATTGGCATGGCTGACTGCTAAGGTTTTCTCTCTTGAAAGCAGAGCCAATATAACTCAAACTGCACTACTTCTGGGATACAAGCAACAGAGCGATGATGCTCTCTCTACCTTATGCAGAGGAAAAAGCAGAACTTGCACTGGCTGTAATAATACTAATGTGTTGCTTAGAGTTGTTTAGAAAGAGCAAGACAGATAGACAACTCCGAAAGAAAATGAAGACGGCAAAGGAGAAAGCTTTGTGAAAAAAAAAACAAAAACAAAAACAGTAAAATGGGAGACATCAATTAGAGATAGTGAAAGTAGATTAGGAGTAGCCTTTATCTGTTTAACAGAGGTGGTGTGAAGCCTGAATTGCCTTACCTCAACTCCTGAGGGCATTTCTAGCCTGGTAGCTGGAGGCAGCTCAACTATCACCTGACAAAGGATGTGAATGTCCAGATGTCTGGGCAGTCAGTCAGATATGCATGCCTTGGCTGCCTCATACCCATCCACAGCTGCCTCTATGTGATCTCTTTTACTTATAGATGAGCAGTGCTTTGAGTTAGAAGTGTCAGGAGCCCCAACTCGCCTAAGCTGAAGAGCTTGCATAATAGACAGGAGTTTTGACCTTGTCAGGAGCTCTTGTTCTCAATGAAGTTTCATCATAGTACAAAAATCTCTCCCTACATCTTTGCTAGGACTTATGTCATTGCTACACCAGAGCAAATGTGTCCTGATAATCACTGCGTGACTGCAAGCACTGCATTTTGAAATGCACTATTTTTAAGGCACTGTATTTATATAACATGTCTAACAGCAATGAAACCGCTGTCTGCGTTTTTGGTTTTGTTTTAGAAAATGCCAAACAAACTACTGGTGCTTTGGGAGCTATTACTCAAATCTATTTGAAACAGACCCTCACAGGCAAAATATAAAATCTACTTCTGTTGCATTTTTTCACTCAAAACAGATTGAGGCTGTAGAAAATTGACAGAAAAAAAACTAGACTGCTGGTCACTGCCTTTTAAACCTGCTGGTATTATTTTGTGATCTATCTCTTCCCTCTGCTGTTCCTTGCACTGGCACTGTAGATTTGGATTTAGGAAAGGATTCTACATTTTGTTAGACAGATACGTGTATGTGAGGGAAAGAGACAAGCTTTATGATGGGTTTGAAATAGAAGCCAGAGGTTGAGAATAATTTCTTTCAAACATATTCATTGTGTTAATTAATTAACGTGAGGGAATACAAGAAGTTGCAATAGGCATAGCAAAACACTATCAGTAAGGGGAGAGACTTGGAGATCATCAGTTCACGTGGGACAGAGACACAAGCAGAAACTCCCAGGTAATGGTAAAATGTAGGGGGAAATTATAACTTGCTATAAAACCATTACTTTTACCGCATTCCTAACACTGAGCGTTCTGCTTTCTGTCTCAGCCCTGAAGCAGGGCACATGTGCCTCTAAAGTCATCTGCTTTTCTCAGAGAATGGGTTAATATAAAAAGAGAAACTTCTCCCTCTAACACTCTAACACAGTAACGCTATGATTACACAGTGGATTTCAGGGAGTTGAGCTTTGTTTTTGTGCAGTGCCCACAGCAACAGGCACTGACTAAAGCCCAGGCTGCGTGGGCCTTGCAGTGGCCATACAGTAATGATCCAACACTTCTTTCCTGTTGAATGCATGACTAGAGAGATGGACGCTACGTTAGCAAGCACCATGGTTCAAAAAAGTTACAGCTTGAAAGAGAAAATTCTCTTCATTTGTATAGTCAAGAACTAGCAACCGTGACAAAAGCAAAGCTTGATCAAAACCAAAGTACATGAAATTACAAAAAATAGTAGCCAATCAGCCTTAAGCTGCTATGAGAAAACATTAAATCATCTCCTGTTGTTATGAAAAGGAGTAGTTGTAAATCCCAATTTACAACGGGATCCAAATGAATTAACTGTCAACACAACTCCAGCATATCAACAACAATCACAGTAAATTAACACATTCTCCAGTTGTTGGAGCAATCAAAACAAGGAGAAACAGTACTGTAGCTTACGACAAATAATAATAATAAACAAAGTGAACTGAAATATCTCTTTTTGCAATTAATCTTAGTGAAAATTTGAGTTTAATGCTTTCACGGCTGTTTGCGTGCATGTCTGTGTGTTGCTTTGTTGTTTTTTTTAAATGTGCTTTTACATGTTTTGTTAGAAAATCTGAACAGACACAGTAACACCAAGCAGTCACTTTTCTTGTCTTACGTTGGGCTTTGCTGATCACCTCTGGTAGCTGGGATGTTTCAGTAAAGAAAGAGCTTTTACTGTGTATTTCAACAATTTGAACTGTAGATGTGGGTCAATTTCTGCCCAAATCTAATGTTAAATCTGTTTTCACAAGATAAAAAAAAATCAAGTTCACACATACTGAGTAGGAAAAGAAAGAGCCTTGCTTCATTAAACGAGCTCACCTCAATATGCAAAGTTGGGATCCCCCAGTTTATCAGGCAAAGATAATTCCAGGCAAAGAAAGAAGTTTCTGTCTAGTGCTAAAAACAAGTGGGCATCCCAGATCTTAGCAAAAATAGAAAAATAAGGCGTATTTTGATTTGGATTTCTTTGTACAGGATGACCACTACATCAATCAGGGTAAAATAAAAATTTGGTGCCTCTATCTAGTTTTGGAAAGAACAAATCCAAACTATGAGGGATTGAAGTTCCTCGTTATACAAATACAAAATTAAACGAAGAAGCAAAAATATTTCTAAAAAGCTTTCAAATGTTTTTCAAAGATACAATTATCCATTACCTATCTTAACGATAACTGTGTACAGCTCCTCGAGAACATCTGAACATTAACAGTGCCAAGGCCTTTCAGAGCTTGCAGTTAAACACAATACCATTTGCTTTATACGTGACTCTACCAAGCTTTGCCTCTCTATTTCTCTTCCCTCAAGTACTGCTTTATTTTACAAGCGATACAATTCAGGTGTCAGCTTGCACTGATTCTAAAAACGAAGATATTTGGTATGCATGTGATGAATCCATTAAGTCTAAACTATGCTCTGTTAGCAAAGGGTGGACAAGGGGTTATAGGGAGACAATACCATTGTTTTCAGCATGAACAAATCCGCTCCCAAAGGGACAACCTGCACGTAGTTTGTAAGACACAGATTTCCATAAGGACCAGATTTATAAGGCTGTATAAATTGTGTGTCCTTGTCAACGAGACAAAAGCAGTCTCAGCACCGGGGTGCGCATTTGATCGCTTAACAAAAAAGAAAGGAGCAAACAACTTTCAGAAGATCTCTTGGAAACATCCACGGGATAAAATGAAAGTAGGAGCAAAGCTCGAGGCTTATAGCTAGGAAGGGCTGAGATCAAGGAAGGAGTGAAGCTTTCACATTAAAACAACAACAGCAACAACAACAACACAACTAAAAAAGCTGAATAAAAATCAAACGAGCAACTTGGCTCTGAGCATGTGAAAACTGAAACCAGTTGCATCTTAGACGCCCAGTTAATGGGTGAACACATTTCATCTTACCAAAGTAAAATTCTCTTTAGTTTGGAAGTGTGAAATAAATTATGCATTTATTGTTAATAATCACAAATCCATAGACCCTTTCAATGGTAAGGACAGTTGTACTGCCAGTGACTGAAAGTTAATACGATCTATCTTTTATTTGATTCATTTTCTGTTTCAGCTGGTCTTCATGTACAAATGAAGGGAGATACAATCATCTAAAAAAGATGAAAATGTGATAGACTCCCAGCCAAATTATTAGGAGAATTTAGCTTCATCTCTGTCCTTTAAATCAACAACACATAGAATCATGGAACAGTTCATACAATGGTTTGGGTTGGAAGGGCCCTTTCAGATCACCCAGTCCCAACTCCCCTGCTTTGCAGGGACACCTCCCATCCACCAGGTTGCTCACACACCCATCCAGCCTGGCCTTGAGTGCTTCCAGGGAGGGGGCATCCACAGCCTCACTGGAACCCATTCCAGTGTCTCACTGCCCTCACAGGAAAGAATTCCTTCCTAATACCTAGTCTGAATCTACCCTCTTCCAATTTAAAGCCATTTCCCCTCATCCTGTTACTACCTGCCATTCTAAAAAGTGCCTCTCCATCACAGTTGACACTTAGTATGGGATTATATCTGCATATTGAACTCAGGAGAAATTATTTTTAAGAAAAGGTATCTAGAATTTTTCTTTTAAATTCTTTTGTTGGGGGAACGTGTTTTTAAGTCAAGAGAAATTAAAGGTTTTTTTTAATTGTTGTTATTCCATGTCTTCATTGAAAGATAAAACTTGACTTAACAAAATCTATGAATTAATCAAAATCCCAAAGTCATTCCAGCTCAAGATGTTCAGCTGCCAGTTTTGTACACCTAGTGCTACTACTAATGTTCTAATTAAGCCCACAGTGTTGCTTGACATAACCGAACACAGGGCCCCTCCTATGCAGTGACTGTACCTTCTGTAAGTGGAATCCTGCACAAATTCAAAACTCGGCCCCTTTTTTATCAGCCTCTGCTAAACATTAATCTTTACAAGATTAATCTTAAAAAAGCCGAATAAAAATCGAACGAGCAACTTGGCTCTGAGAATTTGAAAACTGAAACCAGTTGGATCTTAGATGCCCAAGATTAATCCTTTCTGTCTTCGCACAAATAAGCTATCCAACAGCATGTGAGAGTGCTAAGCACAGGCTGGCTCCACCTGCTTCTTTCAAAGCTAATAGCTTCACGAGATACCAGGAGTGGAAGAAATTTAGGTGAGCCAAATGTAAAGAACGGTTGGTTGATAAGACTGACGTTCAGGAGCAATAAAGCAAAGACAGGATTTCCTCCTCGATAACAGGTGAGACAGTGAAACTCTGAATAAACCAGCAGTATTTCAGCTAAGATTCAGGAGAATACTTTTCCATGTTTCATACTAGCATTTCTTAGTGGCCTCCTCCGCTCACAAGGAGAGGAACCTCATACAAACGTCCAAACAACTCACATTTTTGTTTCAAGTTTGCTCAGTATTAAGAAATGGCCACCCACCAGTGCCCAAAGACCTCGAGACCCTTCCCCTTATTTGCAAAGAAATGCCACAGAAGATATTTTCCCTACAAATCATCTCATTAAAGAACGTGCTTCTTTTCTTTTTCGCATTTCTCTTTACCGTGCCACTTCAGTTAGTGGCCACTGTAGCACAGCCAATCCACCAATTCAAATTATACCAAATACTAAAACTGGCTACTAATTCAAGCTGTCATAGTACAACTGTGCATACTGACCCAACATCCTGACTTTCACAGTTCTGCTTGCATCGCATCAACCAAAAGGATGTGGTTGATATGCATGCAGTTATCAAGAAAAGGATTTTAAAAACAACACATCTAATGTATTTATGAACATCTCGTGAGCTGCAAACAGAAAACAACACATCTCAGAGAAGAAATCAACTGCTGAACACACAAAACATAGAGTAGTTGCTTAGCATGCTGGATACTGATGTTCTCAACGGTCCTCCAGCTTGTCGCACTGAAACTTTCTGAGCAAATTCTTAGTTATTCCATGACACCTTGGCCCAATGAAGAATTTTTTATTTCCTTTTTTTTTTCTTGTGCAGTATTTTAAGCAGATGAGCAGCTTTAGCGAAGCTGACAGATCTGCTTAAGGGCTCAAGATATGCATATATTCAAATGAACCGC